AATAGCTCAAGAGAAGTGGATGCTCTGGACTTTTACAAACTAGGGAAGTTGGTGGGAAGACAGGGAGGCAGGCTCTGGCTTGCCAAGAGGGCCTTGGCCCCATGCCAACCAAAACTGGCATAGACCAATCTACAGGGATGCCAATTAAGCCAGTTCCACGATTTCTAAAGTCACATCACTGTTATAATTGGCCACAGTAGAAAGAAGGCCCAGGAAATAGGGAAACTGAAGAAGGCAACACTGCCGTTCCAGTTATTTTTCCCTGCGCCCAGCTCAGATCCCTCACTCCCACAACAGGAAGCCAACACCCACGAGATCCCAGAGAACAGAGCTCCTCGCCTCATCTGGCCTGCAGACTGAGGCCCAGTGGGAAGCCCCAGCCTCAGGAGCCAGTCCTGACAGCACAGGGAAAAGGAAAGCCAGGGACCCGCCTCTCAGGCCATCTCTTTTGGGCCAGGAGATGTGGTATCCAACTTGATCCTTCTTTCCCTTCCTGACTGTCTCCTCTCTGCTGCCCAAGGGACATCAAACAAGTCTGCTCTTCCTATCCCAAAGTGACAGTGAGGGCAGCATCACTCCCTTGCCCTCCCCTGCCGAGAATACTTCTTTCTCCTTACCTGGTCCTTCCTGGGCTTCAGTGCCCAGCTCAACCTCCAGCCAAGCCAGAACCACTGCTACCAGCACCCCTGTCTGGCCTGTGCCACCCACAGTCACTGCTATCCAGCTGCTTTCATGCCTCTGGCTACTGCTCAACAGTAGGGGCTACGTCAGTCCCACCAGGGATCCCCTGTAGAAGTAGGCACAAAAGACAGGCAAGCTGAAGGAGTAGGAAGCTTTAGGGGCTAGGAATTGGGAATCCTGGGTTCAATTCCTAGGTCTGCTCCTAATAGATGGAAGAGGGGGAGGCTAGCCACTCTTCTCAGGCCTCAGTTTAACCAGCTGTATGACGATGGCCATCTCTAGGGTGATTTTCAGCTTTCTGAGTTGGCATGTCTACCAGTAAATCATTTAGTAAATAACTAGCACTTGGCGATTTATTCCACTGCAGACCTAAGCAGAAAAGGTGCGTCAGCTGGGTCCTAGCCCTGAAACAGATTAGTGTAATGGACTGGTAATGACAACACACTCTTGCCCTCCTGTGCCAGCCCTTGTAGCCACCTACACCGCTGGGGGACTCAGAAGTGCTGAGCTAAGCCAGGGAAGGTGAAGGAGGCACTTTCTGTTACACCTGACACCTGATTTCCTGCTGGGGCCACGGCCATATTTATGGATGGTGAACACAATGGAAACTGCCTGACTAGGACCTCTTTTTAAAGATTTATTCATGTGAAAGGCAGAATGACAGAGACAGAAGGAGGGAGAGAGAAAGAGAGATCTTCCATCTAGTGGTTCATTCCACAAATGGCCCAACATCCAAGGCTGAGTCAGGCTGAAGCCAGGGGCCAGGGACTCCATCGAGGTCTCCTACATGGGTGGCAGGGACCTAAGTACTTGGGTTATTATTCGCTGCCTTTCCAGGTGCATTAGTAGGAAGCTGACCTGGAAGCAGAGCAGCTGGGAGCAGAGTCTTGAAGCAGCACTCCAATGTGGGATGCAGGTGTGGCAAGCTGCAACTTAACCTGCTGTGCCACAACACCAGCCCAAGATAGTCTCTCTAAGCCTCAACCTCCTCATGTTTAATAAATAAGGACTAAGTGGGGCAATCTCTTAGGCTCCCTTGCAGCTCGGTCTATGACTTTTTTTTTTTTAAGATTTTATTTATTTGAGAGGTTGAGCTACAGACAGTGAAAGGGAGAGACAGAGAGAAAGGTCTTCCTTCCGCTGGTTCACTCCCCAAATGGCCGCAATGGCCGGAGCTGAGCTGATCCAAAGCCAGGAGCCAGGAGATTCTTCCCAGTTTCCCATGTGGGTGCAGGGGCTCAAGGGCTTGGGTCATCTTCTACTGCTTTCCCAGACCACAGCAGAGAGCTGGATTGGAAGAGGAGCAGCCGGGACCCGAACTGGCACCCATATGGGATGCTGGCACTGCAGGTGGAGGATTAACCTACTGTGCCAAGGTGCCAGCTCCAGTCTATGATTTTTTGATTGACTGGTGCCAAGTACCAAACAGCCATCTGACCTACTTTCTTCCCCATTCCTTCAGCCCCTGGCAACTGCTAAGATTGACTACTTTTTTTTTTTAAAGTATTTATTTGAAAGGCAAAACAACAGAGATAGAAATAGATAGATAGATAGATAGAAGATAGGCCTTCCCACCATCTACCACTAGTTCACTCCTCAAATAGCCACAAATAGTTACTGGGCCAGGACAAAGCTAGGAGCCCAGAACTCCATTCACATCTCCCATGTAGGTGGCAGGAGCCCAAGTACCTGGGCCATCCTCTGCTGCTTTCCCAGGCACACCAGTAGAGAGCTAGATCAGAAGCAGAGCAGCCAGGACTCAAACTGGCACTCCAATAGGGGATGCCAGCATTGCAAGTGGCAGCTTAACCCACTGTGCCACAATGTTGGCCCCAGATGGACTGTTTTGAGACAACCTTTGGCCCAGGGTGGCTGAAACAGACCTTTAATCTGGAGCCAGAGTCCCTTCCATCTCCACGGCAGCCATCGGCGCTAATGTTTCACTTCTCTGGGACGGCACATGGACTCCTAGCCCTCAGCCACGAGACTGGGCTCAGGGCGGTCACCCTGAAACTTCCCATAACTTCCCCTCCATGGCCTTGAGCTGGGACTTACTCTTGGCTTTTTTTTTTTGAACCACAACATAAACTAAGCAGGAAGCAGCCAAGCTTTCAGATACCAGAGATTTTAGGTTGACCAACAGGCTTAAGAAAGTGAGGTAGGGAGAAGGAGTTGGGCTGGGAATCCCACCTCCTCAGCCCCAGCCCCAGTGTTGCAGAGAAGTGGAGGGCATGAGAGAGCCATAGCCCGGGTTTGTGGTTCGGGGGTAGAGAAAGCAGATGTCTGGCTTGCAAGGCTGGGAACCAGAGCCAAAGGGAGGTGCTCCCACTGGGACCTCTCTCTGCCCACAAATACCAGAGGTACGCCCTCATTTCTCAGATATTTCGAAGGAAAAATAAAGAAAACCAACATCTTCTGGGCCACTCTGTACACCAGGCAGTGTGCTAGGCTCCTCCCCTTACCTGATCTCATGTAATCCCCCACGGGACGGTGGAAGTGTTGCTCCTCCCTTTATAGTGTGTAAACAGGCCCAGAGAGTCAGAGCTTGTTCAAGGTCGCACAGCCAGCAAGTGTGATTTCTAAATCTGGCCTTTTCCCACTATATTGCTCTGCTCTGCGCCCGCCCTGAGACCTGGTTAACTGCCTGAGAAGCATACAGTAGAAAGCCTCACACCCTAGCATTCACCAACAAACCCGAGCTCTTTCTTCCAAGACCCCGCAGCCGAAAACGAGAATTTGTTTTTCTGTTCTTATGACACCACACCTCCCTGGCCTCTGGTCCTCAGTGACTGCTCCCCAGTTCAAAAACTCACACCCCAAGTCCCCTTTGGGTTCTCACAAGTGAATCCCTCCCTGGGGCGCTGTGAGAAAGCAACAAATCAGGATGGGGAATCCTAACTAGGGGTGCTCTCTGAGGCTCCCTGTTGGACTAGACTGCTGGGGAGGGGCTGGAGGAGATAGAGCCAGTGGGAAGAAGGAAACTCCCCTTAGGGGAGTGGCCAGATTCCTCTGAGGGAGAGAGGCCTGGTGAATGAGAGGCTTTGGGGCTGGGGAAAATCCCGGAAGTGACCTTCATGGGGCTGATGTGTGGGGTGCGGTTCCTAGACAGTCAAGGCATGTCCATAGTCCTGAGAGAGGCTGCAGAGCCTTGAGGAATCTCACGGGGTCGGAGAAGGGGGGAGGAGGGGCCCCCCACTGGAGGAGGGTCCTGGCGGGCCCCATGGGGGCCATCGGTGAGGGGCTGCCTGTGTCGGATGGGAGGCACAGCAGAGAGGGGCTAGCCCGTTCTGCGCACAGCACCGGTCTCATCTGACAAGACAGCTGGCGCGAGAGGAGGGTCTGGAGTCCATGCTTCTTAAGCAGACCCGCATACAGCCCCTGTTAGGATTGGGCTCAGGGGGTCCTGCGGGGCCAGAGTGAGGCTGTCCTGGCTGCCCAGCTTGGAGGGAAGGTGCTGCTCTAGTCCCTCGCCGGCCAGCTGGGTGCCTGGGTGCTTGCTCTAGGGGTGGGGCGTCTGGCTGTACTCCATGAGCAAGGACCCTGCCACCTCCCTGCCTCCCACGCCCCAGGTCTGGGTTCGGGAGGAGGCGCAGGTGCCTGTGGCCTGGCACCAGGAAGGGGGAGTGTCTGCTCACCTGTTGCCAGTGACAGCGGGGGAAAGAGCCTTTGGGTGGGGGAGGTGGAGGGGAGCCCTCTCTGACCCTACAGGGATGAAGGGACTGTCTGTCCCTGCATGGGGCTGTCCACCCGGGAGCTGACCAGTGTCAGGTCACAGAGGCCTGTGTGTCCTCAGGAAGGGGTCAGTTTGTCCTGGGATGGGGTCGGAGCAGGCCTCTGGTCTCCTGGTGTGTGTGTGTGGGGGGAGGGCAGTGGGGTGGGAGGCGAGGGGGCTGTGGCCCGTGGGGGAGGGGATAGGGATGGCGACTATCTGTCTGGAAGAGGGGCAGCCATCCGTGGGCCTGTCAGGCGTGGCAAAGCCAACCCCAAGGCTAGGAGGCAGTGGAAAGTCTCGGGTGCTATCTGTCGTTCTGTCCCGCCACAGGGACAGGGCACGGTCGGTCCCTCCCGAGGGGCGGGTCAGTCCGTCTGGGGCGGGGGAGGGGAGTGGGCCTGCCTGGCCCCGGTCGGAAGTAGGGCTCCCCGTGGGGGTGGCTCGGGGGGGGGGGGGCTGGGGCCGCGGAGGGAAGGGGGCGGTTGCCGCTGGCTGGGCGGGGGACAGGTCAGCAGGTCCTGAGGGCGGCTCGGTGCGAGTCCAGGCCCGGCCGCGCGCCTCCCGCGCCCGATCCCGACCCCCGGCCCAGCGCCCCGGCCGCACTCACGCGCCCTCCACGCCTTGAGAGCCCACGATGAAGCCGAACTTGTCGATGCGGCGCTCGGCGAAGCCGTTGGCCTCCGAGTCGGAGCCGAGAGAGCTGAGCTCGTCCGCGGCTGCGGCGTCGGGGCCCTGGGCCAGGCTCTCTCGGGTCCCGGAGAGGCTCCCCGCGGCCGCGGGCGCGCGCGGCCCATTCTCTCCGCTGCTCTTCGCCATCCCGGCCGCGCCCGCCGCCCGAGCCCCAGCGGCCACCTCAGCCACCTCAGCCGCCTCAGCCTCCCGGCCGCCGCCGACGCCGCCGACGCCCCTCCCATACGCCGCGCTCATTGGCCACCGCAAGGCTAGAGGCGGGGCTCTAGTCCCACTGGGGTGCTCCCCCCACACCCAATAGGCGCCGCGAACCCCGGGCCCCGCCCACCTCCCCCAAGCTGGCGCCAACAGGCCCGCCTGAGGGGGCGGGACAGCCGTCACTCCGAGCCCTCCCCACTCGGCTGCCAATCACAAGAACTCACCTGGACCAGCTCCTATGGCTTTTCCGGGTTGGCCCCGGCCGTGCCTGTCACCTGCAGCGGCGCTCCAAGTGGCCCAGAGCTTCTGCGGGGATTTCACGTCTGCCTCCTGAGTCCCTCCCCTCATGAGACCCCAGAGACATGGATGGAGATTGCTTTACCCCTTCAACCTGTAAGGAACTCTGAGGAGATCCGAACGGGTTCAGGGACGCACCAGGGCGCCAGAAAGGCTGTTAGAAGTTTTCCTCACTGTTACTGTGAATGAACTCGTGGAAGGCCTATTTTTTAAATATTTTATTTTTATTTATTTGAGAGGTAGAGTTACAGAGAGAGAGGGAGAGGCAGAGAGAAAGGTCTTCCATCATCTGGTTCACTCCCCAAATGGCCGCAACGGCTGGAGCTGAGCTGATCCGAAGCCAGGAGCCAGGAGCTTCTTCTGGGTCTCCCACACGGGTGCAGGGGCCCAAGGACCTGGGCCATCTTCTACTGCTTTCCCAGGCCACAACAGAGAACTGGATCAGAAGTGGAGCGGCCGGGACTCGAACCGGCGCCCATGTGGGATGCCAGCACTGCAGGCAGCGGCTTTACCCGCCTCATTATTAATAAGGACCAGGTCCGGAGTGGTGATGCAGGGGGTTGAGCTGCCTCACATGTTGATTCCCTGCTATCCACTTTGGAACAAGCTCCCTAACTCGCCTGGAAGGCAGTAGATGATGGCCAGGTCCTTGGGTCCCTGCCACCCACGTGGGAGACCCAGATGGAGTTCCTGGCTCCTGGCTTCAGCCTGGTCCAGTCCCTGCTGTTGCAGACACTTGGAGAGTGAACCAGCGGATGGAAGATCTTTCTTTCTCTGCCACTCTGCCTCTCCCTGTCTCTTAAATATTTTTAAAAGAGAGTAAGAGGGGGGAGGGGGCAGCGCTGTAGCATAGTGGGTCAAGCCTCCACTGGCCACACCAGAATGCCATGTGGATACTGGTTCTAGTCCTGGCTGCTCCTTTTCCACTCTAGCTCTCTGCTATGACCTGGGAAAGCAGTGGAAGATGGCCCAAGCCATTGGGCCCTTGCATCCACATGAGGGACCTAGAAGAAGCTCCTGACTCCTGGCTTCTGATCTGCCCAGCTCTGGCCGTTGCAGCCATTTGGGGAGTGAACCAGGAAATGGAAGACCGTTCTTTCTGTCTCTCCCTCTGTAACTCTAGTCTTTAACTTAAAAAAAAAAAAAAAAAAAAAAAAGGCATAAGGACCAACCTTCACTGTGCCCTCCCACACTGCCCTAAGTTCTGCTTTCTCTTGTAATCTTTTTGACCCCACAGCTTTACTGAGATATAATGAACATACCATAAACTCGGGTTTCAAGTGTACAATTCAGTGGTTTTCCGTGTGTCACAGAGCTGTGCAGTCACAGCCGACTCACGTTGGAGCATTTCATCACCCAGCCGTCAGTCCCCAGTCCCCCTTGCCCAGTCCCAGGGAGGTCACTTTTCTGTCACCATAATTTGTCTTTTCTGGACAGTTCATACACTATGTGGCCTCCTGTGGCCAGCTCCTTTAGTTTTCCAAGGTTCACCCACACTGTAGCACATATGAGCGCTTCCCCTTCCTTATGCTAGATAATAGCCCATCACAGGGACACGCTGTGCACCCATCAGCAGTGATGGCCGTTTGCGTGTTTCCATGTGGGGGCTGGCATGAACAACGCTGTTTGAACACTCAGGTACAAGCATCTGTGTGCACACACGTTTCCATCGTTTCTCTTGGGAAGATTCTTGGGAGTGGAACGTCTGGGTCATATGGTTCTGTTTAACTTTCTGAAGAACTGGCAAGTTGTTTTCCAAACTGGTTGCATCATCTCCTGTGTTCTTTCAGCGATGAGGTCTATGCTACTATTAGGCCTGTGTCACAGTTAAGGATTTCAATGCAGCTTACACTGGGAGGGCCAATTTTACCTACGAGGACTTAGCCCCATGGCGTCCTAGTTCTAACCCGAGGGACTGTCAACTCTTGGAGCTATAACGATGGCTTCTCTGTGTAGCCCTTCATGGCCACAAGTCCCCTAGACCTATGGAAGAGACAGGCTCGGAGAGGGGAGAGGACCAATCAGGACTGAGCTGTAAGGCCTGGGAGAGGCTAAGAGCTCCGGGCCAAGCCTCGTGGGGGTCTTCAGCCTTGAGTGACTTCACCAGCTGTTTCTTTGATGGCACGTGGCTCAGACATTCTTGAAGACTTTGCTGTGCAATCTTCACATTCCATGGGTTTCTGGTTTTCCATAAACAGGGCCACAGCAGACATGGGAGTGGGCACAGACTATTTTGGTCTTAAACCCTCAGTCTGGGAAGATGTTCCTCCTTTCTAGTGGCTCCAGAGTGGTGGGCTTGAACTCCCAGCTCCTGGGAAGGGCAGAGTGGGCCTCCCATTGGGGGGTGGGCCTATCCCAGGGAAGGGAGAGAGAAGCCAGGCACACCTACAGCAGATGTGAAGCCCTGAGCACGGCGAAGTATCCACAACCCTCTGACTTCCTAATTCTTGTCTAGGGTCACATCCCAGACGCGTCTGTAGCTCTGTGAGGGAGCAGGCACACGGATGTTCACACTGGGAGTAACTGAGGTGGGGACGGGGGGCACCTGGGAAGCCCCTTGGCTGGGGCCGGTGTTGTGGAGCAGAGGGTTAAGCGGCCACTGGCAACCACAGCTTCCCATGTAGGAGCACCAGTTCGAGTCTCGGCTGCTCCACTTCCGATCTAGCTCCCTAACGCGCCTGGGAAAGCAGCAGCAGATGGCCCAGGGCTTGGGCCCCTGCGACCCATGTTGGACACCCGGATGGAGTTCTGGGCTCCTGGTTTCAGCCTGGTCCAGCCCAGCCGTTTCAGCCATCTGGGAGGTGAACCAGAGAATGCAAGATCTCTTTCTCTCTCTGCCTTTCAAGTGAAATAAATCTTTACCGCAGCAGCCCCTGGGTGTTCATCTCTGGGAGACTGGGTAGATGTTACTCCAATTAAGGCCTTTAAACCCCAGCTTCTAATTTTGTTACATCAGACCACCCAGGATGCAGACTGCTGCTTTGTGACCTTGAAGTAATCACTTCTCCAAGTCTCTTCATCTGTAAAACAGAAACACTGAGTTGCTCAGAGCTAAGCATCTGCCACGCCGCCGCGAGATGCTGGCAATGGTGGCTCCAAAGCACTTGCCAATTCATTGTCTTCTTTTTTTTTTTTTTTTTTATTTATTTGAAGGCAGAGAGGCAGAGGGAAGGAGGGAGGGAGGGGAGAGGGAGAAGGGGAGGGAGACAGGTCTTCCATCCTCTGGTTCACTCCCCAGATGGCCACAACAGCCAGAGCTGCGCTGATCTGAAGCCAAGAGCCAGGAGCTTCTTCCAGGTCTCCTAGGCAGGTTCTATCTTCCACTGCTTTCCCAGGCCATAGCAGAGAGCTGGATTGGAAGTGGAACAGCTGGGTCTAGAACCAGTGTCCATATAGGATGCTGGCCCTGCAGGCAACGGCTTTACAAGCTAAGCCACAGCGCCGGCCCCTTGAGTGTTTCTCACCACAGCGTGTGGCTGCAGCAGGGGATCACCCGCACACAGCCTGGGAGTCTTAACTTCACGACTGGGCCCCTCAATAACTGGATGTTGGAGGTGGGATGTGGTGAAATGGCTAAGACACCACTAGGGATGCCCGCACCCCATACTGAGAGTGCCTGGGAGATAACAGGTGACGCTGGCTACCTGCCACCCACATGGAAAACCTGGATTGAGTCGTCAGCTTCCTGGCAGTTGGGGAGTAACCCAGCAGGTGGGAAGTTTCTGTCTCTCATTTATTAAAAATGCTTTTAAATAAAAAAAATAGGGGTGGGCATTGTGGTGTAGCAAGTTAAACCACCGCCTGCAGCAGCCACAATCCGTAATTTTGTAGTGCCGGTTTGAGTCCTGGCTGCTTTGCTTCCCGCCAGCTTCCTGCTAATGCATTCATCGTAGGCAGATCTTTGTGCTTCATTGTAGATGACGGCTCAAATGCTTGGGCCCCTGCCCCCGTGTGTGAGACCTATATGGAGTTCCAAGCTCCGGCCTGGCCCAGCCCTGGCTGTTGTGGCCATTTGGGAGTGAACCAGTGACCAGAGATTTCTCTGTGTTTCTCTTTCTCTCACCCCGCCTTTCAAGTAGATGAATAAATATGTATTTTATTTTATTTTTTGACAGGTAGAGTTAGTGAGAGGGAGAGAGACAGAGAGAAAGGTCTTCCTTTTTTTTTGTTGGTTCACCCCCCAAATGGCTGCTATGGCTGGTGCACTGTGCCGATCTGAAGCCAGGAGCTTCTTCCTGTTCTCCCATGCAGGTACAGGGCCCAAGCACTTGGGCCATCCTCCACTGCACTCCCGGGACACAGCAGAGAGCTGGACTGGAAGAGGGGCAACCGGGACAGAATCCAGCGCCCCAACCAGGACTAGAACCCGGTGTGCCGGCGCTGCAGATGGAGGATTAGCCTAGTGAGCCATGGCGCCGGCCAAGATGAATAAATATTTAAACTAAATAATAACTGGGTGTTCAGAGAGAGAGAGAGATCATCCATCTACTAGTCATTCCCCAAATGGCTGCAAGGGCTGGAGCTGGGCCAGGACAATCCAGGAACCTGGACCACCATCCGGGTCACCCACCTGGGTGGCAGGGGCCCATGCACTTGGACCGTCCTCTGCTGCTTTCCCAGGTGCATCAGTAGGGAGCTGGACAGAAGTGCAGCAGCTGGGATTTGAAACTGCCCACGTGGGGTGCCAGCATTGCAATAAGCAGCTTCGCTTT